AAAAAAGAGAGAGAGGGAAAGGGAAAATGGATATGATTCTAATAGAAACTGTCCCTAAAATATCTCTAAAATGAGAACTAGGAAGAAGGGAAAGAGACTCCCTGAGAGGCAAGATCTTATCTTTTCTTTCTTTTGCAATTCTTTTGCATATAACATGTTGCTCAGCACATAGAAGGCCCTTACTAAATGCAGCTGACCCCCAGTAAAATGGAAAAAGGTCTAAACATGCAAGAATACAAAAAAGTAAGGTTTAAAAGGTTTTCAAACAGTTAAAAAAAAACAACCCTGTTTTTCTTCTACACCTTCTTCCCCTCAACATCCAAAACACACACACACACACCCCCTCTACACTTCCCTCTTTCTACTCTAAAGTCCTTCAATATCATTTCAATGGCCTCAATTTCCTTCACTGTTTTAAGGTTTCTCCTCATTCCAGTCTATTCTCCACACCTCTGCCAAAGTGATTTTCCTCGAGTATAGATCTGACCTTGTCACTCCTCCATTCAATAAACTCTAATGGATCCCTGTTTCCTCTAGGATAACATAAACTGTTAGCTTTTAAAGCCCTTCACAACCTGACGTGAACCTGCCTTTCCAGACTAATTAAATAATACTCACCTCCTGCACTCTCTTGTCCAAGCAAACTGGCCTTCTCTCTTTCTTCACACAGGACACTCCATCTCCCATCTTCATACCTTTACATCCCTGGATGCACTCCCTATTCACTTTTGCCACTTGGAATCCCTCAATTTCAAGATGCAGCTCAAACATCAACTTCTACACAAAGCTTTTCTTGATCTCCCCAGTTGCTAATATTCTTTCTCCCAAACCACCTTATACTCAACTACTCTGAATTTCTTTCTTTTACACCTTTTATACATGTACTTGTTGTGGCTTTCATTAGAATGTAAGCTCCTTGAGAGTAAGGATTTTTTCATTTTTTTGTATTTGTATTCTTAGTGTCTAGCAGTGCCTGACAAATAAATGCTTGTTGACAGATTACTGATCAAGAAAAATTCAGAGTTGGGTAAGTACACATTGTGCTTAACAAATAATCCTGCTCCTAACCCCAAAAGCTTAAAACAGTCTGGCTTGAGCTGGTAACATTTTAGGGTTTGTAAAACTTAAGTAATGTTGAAAAGCTCAACAAACCATAAGAAATAGAAACCTTTCAACACTCAAGTTGTTTCACGATCAACCTAAAACATCTTTCTCTATTCCTTCCAGAAAATATTCTATAGGTTTTTCAAATCACCTAAGAACAACTCGCATGCATACTTACAAGAAAGTAAATTATATGAGGAATTCAGAGAGATGTTTTACTATAAGAAACTAGCAATAAAAACATAATGGGCTCAGAGTCTAAAGTCATGTATATAAAGTCTATAACCTTCCACTACTATATAAAACCATCTAAGACTAAACATCATTTTAAATTCAAGAACCTCAACAAGTCACAGCTTGTTCAGGCATCAAAATAACTACGAAGGAGGTAATGTCTATTGAACAGAAGAACATACACTGGCCCTACCACTAGCTGTATGACCACAGACAAATCACTTCATCTGAGCCTTAGTTTTCTCTTTCCAATAGAACAACAACATCTGCCTTACCTATCATACAAGAATGCTGTGAGGATTTAATGGGATAATATAACCAAAGAAAGCATTTTGAAAAGTGTAATGCAGTCTTTTTGTTTGTTTTTTTAAACTGAGCACACCACATTACATGTTTCCACTAAAACACCTATCTTCCCCTAGGACCACTTTGAATACAGTTTCAAGCAAAAGAGGGTTTTTTATTTATGTTATATTACATATTTATCATATATAAAATTATATATGTATGTATGTACGTGTGTATCTATGTATGTGTATGTATATATGTAGGTATGTATCTCTGTGTGTGTGTGTGTGTGTGTGTGTACACACACACATCTTTAGTACCATGGCCCCGACTAAAGTGTGGTCACAAATACTTCATAAGAAACATGCCAAGTAGCTATTTTGAGGAATTTCACAAAACAGGCCAGGCAGATTCCCAAAATTTCAGGCCAATATTACTCCCTCTCAATATTCAGGAAGGAAGAAAAGGTATCACTTTGTGTCAGATCTCCAGACAAATGTCCCATGGACAGACCCTGCCACTCACCCCCTAGCATAAGGCAAATAGTCACTTTACACCAAAGGAGTGACAGAGAGTATTGATTTTAATGTTTTGGCCATCTCAAATCTTCAAGAGTAGGCAGGGAAAAATTTGAACTGGCAAATTAAGTTTTTAGTACTTGTTTATGATGTTGAAAGAGGGGTCAGCCAAGACTCAGGTGATTTCTTAACCCCAAGGATAGACAGAGGGAAACTGAGGATATCTGAAGAAAAGAGTCCTAAAAGGGTTCTGGATTGGCCATATTCAATTACTGTATCATTCATCCAATTCAGGTTTGTAGCTACTGAAAATTCTCTTGTAGAACTTAGAAAAATCCTAATACCCACTTCTCAGACAATTCCTCATCATGCTGCCTATGCTCCAGTCATCATTCTCATCCTAACCCCACTACAACCTTGGACTCCCCTCCTGACTCCTCTAGTTCTGAAAGGTGAGCTTTTGCCTTACCTTGCAGGAACCAGGCCTCCACAACACTTCTTAGTCATCTCCCTACTAGTGTATGTATCTCTTACTTTCTAGCTCCCATTTATGTGTTATCTTTACCCAGTAGAATAAAAGTTCCTTGAAGGCAAAGATTGTCTTTCCTGCTTGCATCTAAATCTCCAATGCTTAGGGCAGTTCCTGGCACATAATGAATGACTGTTCTATCTATCTATCTATCCATCCATCCATCCAACTCTTCATGATAGGAGCTACGAGACCCACATAAGAGACAAAAGATCTGGGAAGCGGAACAGTCACAGAAACTCTCTGTGACAAGAAACAGATCAATAGAGAAAATTATTTGAAAAGACAGCATGAATCTTGAGATTCGAAGACCCCAAAAGAGGAATGATCATTCTGAATACTTAAAATCACTTATACTATATGTGGAAGAGCTGATTATCTGACCATGCAAAAAACATCTGGTCCCAGAGGTTACAAAAAATAGGGACTTCTTTGACTTTGCCCAGTGTGAAGGAACAACAGTCAAAAACCACTTTTCTTCCACCTTAGAATTTTGAGATAAATTAATTTTCTCTTAAACAATGACCTATTCTGTAGCAAGAAGCATCATATCCTGTCTGATATTAGAAAACTTTTGATCAGTTGCAATGTTAATCCTACACAGCCTAAGGCTAGTAAAAGGGCAGTTTTAACTTTCAGTTGTTTCTCTGGTACTTTGTGTGGTAAGAGAGTATAAAGTACAAGGACATATACACTATCCTTCAGCACCACTACCTAGGGACACAAGGGCGGTAAGATCATGTCCAATTAATTTCATTAGTCAATAACCAGGTGCCTAGAAGTCAATATTCTCCCTGTGCCTGAAGATCATAACAATATGTTGTTTCCCCACATCTCCAGCCCCTCCCCTACAAACAGTTCCTGAGTGCCTTTTTCTCCCAAACATGTCCCTTCTACTATCCCCCCAAATCAGAATCTGCTCAAAGAATATTTAAAGCAGGGAAGATTTGGGGCACCTGATCTGAGTTCCTCCATGGCCCCCCATGGCCTCCTTTCTTTCTCTTATAGTCAAACATATTCTTCCCAAAGGAAGAAGGGCCCCTCACAACAGTACATCCTTGTTCTATTACCAACTAGTTTTTGTCAGTGGCTGTGAGAACAGGCCCACTCACCCCCATCCCTACTTTTGTGAGCCCTAGCAAATTTGAAAAAAATCAGGAAACAATGCCCAAATTTTGCGAACTTGGCATTCCAACAGAAGGAAGTTGGCTGCAGTGGGGGAAACCCCAAAATGGCAGATTGAAGAGATATGAGCAAGATGAAAAATACTTTGGGCTCAATGGCAAATTGACTGACGGGGAAGATGGGTAAGGCTTCAGGCCTAGGCTTATGGGAAATTAAGTGGTAGGATGGAGGGAAAAGTGACATCTATACTGGCTCCAGTAGGATTTCAAGGAGGCACAAGAAGTAATGGTCCCAAGCAGAAGGTCAAATAGATATGATGCACCAATAATAACCTCAAAGAAGTCTTCATTGAGGTGGCAGAGATTAGATAAAGTCACCTACTAATTGAAAACAACAACAACAAAAAAACAACACTGGCTTAATAATGGGAGGACCTTGAATTCTGACTCCCACATACTATCTGTGTGACCTTGAGTAAGAAGTCACTCAACTCCTATGGACTTCACTTTCCCTATCAGTAGAAGGTTACAGCTGATAGGTCCCTTCCAAGTCAAAAATTTATGATCCTGTGATTCCTCAAGGATTAGAGAAGGTGAACCCCAGTGCTCCTAATTCTTGGGCATGAAATCAGGAAACCCAATCATAAAACAAAACCTAGATTTGGTTCAAATAATACCTCTGCCTTCTAGCTTGGTGCCAACTTAAATAGCTTTTAGAAATATGTTTCAAACTGGGGCTTTATTTATTTAAAGGGGACAAAAGGGGGGGGGAAGGGACAGCCTCTCTCTGTCTTGGCTCCAGTCTAGGCAGAAGATTAATATTTGGGTTCTGCCTCAATCAGTGGGTTTCTTATTCCCGGTTCAGTGCCAAAACCCTGGAAGCGTCGCATGTCTGGGGACCGTGGGGGTAGAAGTTGCCCCACGATGGCTGCACGGAGGAGCCTGCCCGAGATGCAAGCATCCAGATTCCTGGACAAGGAAGCATCTGTCCCCGGGACGGGACCGGACGGGACGGGACGGGCCCCCACCCCCAGGTGGGGGGGAGGGGGACAGGAGCAGGGATTCGTGGCGGAGGGGACAGAGGGCACAGCCCGACCAGAAAAGGCTACTTCTGCGGGTGGGGTGGGGAGCACGAGGAGAGACTGACAAAGAGGCTCTGCCGCGGGCCCGCCGGGGCTCGGGGAGGAAGAGCTAGCTTCTCACCGGACTTGGGAGGGTACCGATAGGCCGAGTTCGCCTGGATGTCGATGTCCTCCACCCCGGCGATCCGGCGGCTTAGGATGGACCCCATGGCGCCAGGAATGGAGGGAGGGCTGGCAAAGGCTCCGGACGGCCGAGGGGTGCCGGGAGATCCTCACACGGACATAATCCGGCTGTGGTCCGAGCTGCCCGGCCCCAAACACAAACACCCACTGCGACTGCGGCGACAGCGGCGGCGGCTCGGCCCCCTTCTCCCCACCCCCATCGCGACGGCTGGTCACTACGCCACTGCCCTCTCCCCTTCTGCTCCCTGTCCCAGAGACCTATGGGAAAGAAAGTTTTCTCGCTGCTGAGTGAGCCGACTCACGACGCGGAAATCTCCCCCTTGGAACTACACGTCCCAGAAATCCCCACCACCGGGTTCGGCCAGACTGTTGACATTCTCTCCGGACTATACTAAAGGCACTAAAACGTGAAGGGGATAAGCAAACAATCTTTCCTCAACCTGTCCCTTACCCTACCTTCCTTCTTTAGTTATAACACATTGACATTCTTTGTAATTTTATGTTATCATACTCCCTTTGAGAATGGGAATATATATTAAATAAATGTAACCCTTCCATTTACCCCCCAATAAAAAGTCCCCCTCACGTTGCACCAATGATTCCCTCCGCTTGCCAGTGCCCCAACTCTGCTTGCGAAGACCAGCAGAGGGTGCTTCGGCACTTTTCACCTTGTATGTGAATGTAGACGGAAGGGCCAAAGCCGAAGTTTTTAAGCTGACCTGCGGAAACTCCAGCAAATACTGTTTGGAGTGACCATACTAGCCTGCATCAGTAATTCAAAAGCAACTTTGGGCTGCCCTGATTCATGTCCAGCGAAATACATAGCTGTACTTTTACAACCCCAGGGAAGGCAATAGTTCTCAATTTACTGATAAACAAACAGGGGCACAGAAGACATCATCATATGACACTAGCAGAACTGGAAACTAGATCCAAGCTCTACTGACTGCCAATTACCTTGGACCATCGCTTACCTCGGAATTCTACGATCTGCAATCAGTCAACAAGCATTTATTCAGCATCTCCTCGGTGCTATGCACAGTGCTAAATGCTGGGGAAGGCTTAGAAGGAGCTCACTTAATAATGGCTGTATGTCATACACGTGGGCATTCTCTCCACAGATGCATGCAGATCGAAGCCCATTTATGATTTGATAGTCTTTCAGAGTTGTTGTGGCTAAAAATTAATTACCCCGCAGACCCTCCGATTTTATTAGGCTGGTTCTGGGACAAGAGATACATTCCACCAACCAAGTCATACTTGAAGCCTTTCCAGCTTGGTAAGTTCTGCCAGCCAAGGTTTGGCACTGGGCTGCCATAGCCTTCAGGAGCCCATGGTTGCCTCTAACTTGCAATAAAACATTGAAGTAGAACTTTCAGTTGTGAAAAAAAGTTACACTTATGTTATGATTGCAGACTGAGCCATTGATTAACAGATTTCATTGCTAATCCAATCGGTCACGCAAGCACCCATAACGATTGCATTGAAACTGTAATCTTCATAGAACTCACTTGGCAATATTCTTCAATCAATCAATCAATATTTATTAACACCTACTATGGGCCAAGAGCTGTGCTAAGCTTGGGGGATACAAAAAGAGGCAAGACAGTTCCTGCCCTGGAGGAACTTACAGTCTAATGGAGACAACAAGCAAATATATGTATACAAAGTAAGCTACAGGATAAATCGGAGATGATTAAATGAGAGAAGACAATGGAATTAAGAGAGGTTGGGGAAGGCTTCCTGTAGAAGATGGTATTTTAGTTGAGACTTAAGGAAGCCAAGGAGGTCAGTCATCAGAGCTGAGGAGGGAGAGCATTCCAGGCATGGTACAGCTAAAAGAATGCCCAGGGCCAAAAGATGGAATGTCTTATTGGCAGAACAGTCCAGAGACCAGTGTTACTCAATGGAAGAGTGGAATGGTGTAGAGTAACGTTTAAAAAGACTGGAAAAGCAAGAGAGGACTAAGTTTTGAAGGGCTTTGAATGCCAGAGTGTCTTGTATTTGCTCCTGGAGGCAATAGGAAGCCACTTGAGTTTGCTTATAGACAAGGTTGTCATGCATGAGATATATTTCAAAATAGCCAGACCCTATTGTAATAAAAATAGCTAGTTTTATATAGCACTTTAAAGTTTGCAAAGCACTTTATGTACACTACCTCATTTGCAGCAGCTTTCATTAGGGATGAAGTTAACCAATTATTAGAATATAATAACATAAACAGGTAGAATCAGAGTGTTAGAGGTGAAAGAAACATCAAGCACCTCTCTAGTCAGTCCCTTTCCTTTTACAAAGGAGGGAACATAGATGCTCCAGAGATTAATTTTTTTTTTTGGTGAGGCAAATTGCGGTTAAGTGACTTGCCCAGAGTCACACAGAGTATTGTGTGTCTGAGGTCAAATTTGAACTGAGGTCCTCCTGGCTCCAGGGCTAGTGCTCTTTCCACTGCACCAACCTAGCTGACCCCCCCCCCAAGATTAATTTGCCAAACATCATGCAACTAGTAACAGAAAAGGAAAATACACCATCCATGAAAATTTACCTTTGAAGAGACTTTATTACAATTAAATAAATAACTGGATACAGAGTAGCACTCCATCTTCATGGAGCTGATCTAGTTGGGAAGAAAATCACTTGTATGAAATAATAACGTAATGTAAAAGGGAAAGATTGTTATGGAATAAGGTTAGGCTAAGAAAGCATCATATTAGACAGTGCTCAGCACATAGTAGGCACTTAAATGCTTGTTGCTTTGACTCCTTGACTAGAGAAGGTAAAATCTTGAACAGAGTCTTCAAAGAAATGTAGGATTTTGATGAAGAAAATCTTAGAAGGCAGAAATGAGAACTGCAGACCTGCCAAAGCTACAGAGAAAGAGAAATGGAAGACAAACAATGGTTATCTTCATCCCTAATGAAAGCTGGAGCTCCTAGGAAAGGCAACAGAAGAAAAAGCTAAAAAAGATTAGCTAAACTATGTGGTACCCCCTGGATCAGTAGACAGTATGGGTTTCCAGGGTTAGCAGGGTATCCTACCAACATTAAAGACAAAATTTTACCTATTTCAGATCTTCAGAGGGGTAGGAAACAACAGAGCTATATAAGAAACATATCAAAGTAGGAGATGGCTACCCTTGTGTTTTAATCCTAATTCCACTGACATATTATGTGACTTCTAGAAAACCTCTGGCCTTCTTTGTGCCCCAACCTACTGCCTTAAAGGGTTGGATGAGGTGAGGGACAAAGTTGAACCACATACCCCAAAATGTAAAGAGTACTTTGAATTAATAAAAATGCTGGTCTCTAGGAAAATAAAAGGGAGTGTTAATATTGGTTTAGTGTTATTCATAACACACACACACACACAAAACAACACAAACCAATGCCTGAATTTCCTTGAGCAGTTTGTGCTTGTACAGCCCACTTAACAGGGCAGGTGGTAGGATGGAGGAAAGAGAAGGAAGCTGTCGGTGCCTGGAAACAGCTGATGGCACCCACAGTCTGCTGCCATCATGCACAAAATCAGCCATAGAGAAGGGTACATTCAACCGCTGAAATCCGGGGCCCCTCTGTCAGGCCCCAGCTTAGCTGACTGAGGATTCCAAAGTCCAGTCTCCAGGGAAAATCATTACTTGCTGAAAACAATTTTGTTTTCCTTTCCTGTCATACCCCCTCCCTTAGGGCCCCTATGTTTTTGCTGTCAAGTTGGTTACCAGTGGGTCCAGTGGGAAAACAACCTAGCTCAGAGCCCTAGAGTAGGACCCAGGCTTGTGAACTTTGTTTCAATAAATACCACCCAGAATGAGGGCTGACTCACAGCCTGGGAGAGTTTCCTTTTTTCATTGCTGGCACCCACTTGCCTGGCACCTTGTGCTGCCCCTTCAAGAAAGAAAAACAAATTATGAAGAAGGGTTCTGCCTCCTTTGAGAAGAAAAGTGTCTTGTTGGCCTGCTTGCCTCTCTGGCCCTCATTCCCACCCTGTGGTAGCCTGGTGATCGCCTTTCTCCCACTCTTTCCCCACCAGCTTTGCCAGGAAAACTGGCTGCCCTTCAATTCCCCATACCAGATTCTTGCCTGGCAGAGACCTCTCTGTAGCTTGCCAGGGCTCACTGAATTCATTCTTTGTTCTCACAGACGCTGCTAAGGCTTTCATTTCCACGTCTCCTGCTTATAAAGCTGTGGTCTAGTGTCTTAAGGAAATCTGGTTTGAATTCCGGTGCCATCACAATACCACAAAGAGGCTAAGCATGCCTCAGTGATGCTATCCCAACAAATGACTAGAGATACAATAAAGAACCAAGTTTAAATTTTTGTGTAGACAGGATTATTCTTGTTATACCTGGCAGCTCCACATGACTGATAGCCTTGGCTCTTTTGAAACCTCTTAGGTCTTTGCTGCCTGTTCCTGCCCCCTGCTTTCGGAGCTTCCAGAATCAAACGTTCATATCTGCTTGTCATCTCTTGCTGCTTAGCAACCCCATTATATGCCTATCACTCCATCCTAGTCAGCCCACAGTGACTGGCAGATTTCTCCTTGAATCCAGAATGTCGAAGGTGTGGCAAAACAATGTTCTTCATTTTCCCTAGAGACTTTTCAAAGTCTAGTCAACCTGCTTCTTCCATGTCTCCTGTCCAGCCAATCAGTTACTTTTCAGGAAGAAGCTTGTGGGAGTTGTGGCATGAGAGCTCCCAGGTGAGATTTGCCTATGTAGCACCAGAAAAGCAATAATAATCAAAATAATTATAATATAATCCAATTTAACAAACATTTAACACAATATAGTTTTTACATCAGTTATTTCCCCTCAAAGCCACTCCCCACCAACCATTGATCCATTCCAAAGAGCAAAAAAAACAACTAAGCAAAACATAGCGATTATATCTAAAAAAAATCTATCACTTTCTACATCCATAGTTCCTCCACCTCTTAGCTGAGAGGAGGGAGGTGCTTAGCAAGCATGTATTAAGTACCTACTTCTAGGTACTCTAGGAACTTATATTGACACAGGTAAACTGATCAGTTGCAACCAACAAGCATGTATTAAACACCATAAGTCAGGCAGTGGGCTAGGCACTGGTCATAAGAAAACAAGGACTGGGGCAGCTAGGTGGTGAAGTAGATAGAGCAGGAGGACCTGAGTTCAAATCCGGCCTCAGACACTTGATACTTACTAGCTGTGTGACCCT